GGGGGCACCCACAGGTGTGGCTGAGCCTGGGTATGTGGAATGTGGGGGTCCGACTCAAGAAGCAGAACCCACAGGACTGTCTAGCCTGGGTGTTCTGCCAAAGCACAAGGGCCCTGTAAGGTGGGAGGCAGCTGGCACGGGACTTCTAGAAGGCGTGGGAAGGATCTTAAAGGACAAGGCACAAACAAGGAGTGAGTCTCCTTGGGCATTCTGGAAAGGCATTTTGCAGGGTGTGGGGTGGGCATGGGAGGCATGGCTCTTTGAGGCCACAGGAGGCCTGATGGACCGGAAAAGAAAAGAGGAGAGGCTGGGTGTGATGGCTCATGCCTGTAATCTCAGCACTTTGGGAGGCCGAGGTGGGCGGGTCACTTGAGGTCAGGAGTTCAAGACCAGCCTGGTCAATATAGCGAAACCCTGTCTCTACTAAAAATATAAAAAATTAGTCAGGCATGGTGGCTGGTGGCTCCCAGCTACTCAGGAGGCGGAGGCAGGAGAATCACTTGAACCTGGGAGGTGGAGGTTGCAGTGAGCCAAGATCGTGCCACTGCACTCCAGCCTGGGCTCTGTCTCAAAAAAAAAAAAAGAAAGAAAGAAAGAAAAAGAGAGATAGAGAAAAGAAAAAAGAAGGAAAGAAAGAAAAGAAAGAAGGGAGGAAGGAAGAAAAAGAAAGAAAAGAAAGAAAGAAAAAGAAAGAAAGAAAGAAAGGAAAGAAAAAGAAGGAAAGAAAGAAAGAAAGAAAGAAAAAGGAAGAAAGAAAGAAGGAAAGAAAGAAAGAAAAGAAAGAAGAGGAGAAAGGAAAGAAGACAAGCACTTAGGAGGGTGGGGCTCCCAGCTCAGAAAGTTCTCTGCATGGGGGAGAGCACCCAGCTTCCCCTACCTTCCCCAGGACAGGGGCCTCTGTGGCCTCAGCCCAGATTGCACCAGGCCAGGCTGTGTAAGGGCCCCATACCCTTGGCGTGGGTGTTCTCAGGGGTGGAGAGTGTGTGCTGGGCAGGATGCCACCACTGTAGCCACTGAGCCCTGGGCCTTGCGTGGCGGCTGGGGAGTGAGCTGTGGGCTCCTGAGATGGCTCAGGCCTGGCACAGACAGGAGAGAGGAAGCTTGCTGTGGCCTCTTTCTTCTGGGCCCAGGCTGAAATGAGAGATCAGTCAGGGTGGCGGGAGACTGCCCAGCTGTGTGCACCCTGGGGGAGACCGTCTGTGCTCCTGACCTTTATGTGGGGATGGGCCCCACCTCAGGGGTCAGACCTGCTGCTCTTCAGGAAGTCTTCCATGCCTGCGCCATTCCCAGCTTGGCACATGTGCTCTCTGAGTGGGCGTGCGTGCCACAGACCAAAGCAATGGGTGAAGTTCTGGAACATGTCCTGCTTCCGCTTGTCTGATGGTGCAGGGAAGCAGAGTGAGCCTATCTATCTCTAGGGATGTGCAGGGCTGCCAGGAATAGACACACACTCAGGGTCCCTCAGGTCTTCATGGGGGCCACGGTGTAAGGAGAGGAGGCAGGTGGGACTCTTGCCTGCAGTTAGGCTGCAGGTGTTGGAAAGCTTATTCAGGACGGAATGGAGCTCCAGTGCTTCCATCATCTCCATGCGCCTTGCAAGTAGGTGGCCATTTCTTTTGTTTCCAAAGCTCTGCCTGCACAGAGATTCACCTGCCCTTCAGTTTTGCTTTTATCTTCCAGCTCCTACCAATCAACGGTTCTCCATTCTCTCAGCCCCTTGGCTTCGGCTGCTTTCTAGCCTCTGTCCCCCCTGGCCACCCCTGCCCCGCCTCCCGCTTCCCTCTGCCTACCTGCAGAGGCCAGGCCGCTACAGCCTTCGGCAATGCCAGCATCACAAAAGGCAAAGGGAGAGGAGTAGCTCTTCCAGATTAGAGGAGCTGAAGGAGCTGGCTGTAAAGTGGAGGGTGTGATCCTGGGCTGGAGAAGAATACTCTAAGGAAAACTAGTGCCTAACCTGAAATGGGGCGGTGGATTAGATAAGAGCACAGCGGCAGTGTTGAATGTCCTATTTGTTAACTCCGCTGTGGTTAGATACAGGGATGACCTTTGTTCTTGGTAAACACATACTGAAGTATTAAGGGGAACGGGGCACCATTTATGCAACCTGTTACCAAATGGTTCAAGAAACAATGATACATGTTTTTAAAGAAGTCCACAAGGACTTCTTGCCAAATTCCAGAGACAGTTAAGAGAGTGAGAGACTGAGGGTGAGCGGGAACAAGAACAAGAGAACAATGACAGCCCCCACCTGTGTTGGGGACCACTACATTGGTGTGTTGGCATCTCTGAGCTGTGGGCCAGCCCATGGGGAACACACTGGCTCTGGAACCCAGCCACGATGCCGTCAGTGAGTGGTCAGGATTGTGGAGTCCCACGACCCAACACAGTTCCCGTGGCTGCCCATGCTTTCGGGCATCTTCTGAACACTCTATCTGAGGCAATGTCCGGCCGCTGCTTAAGGGGCCTCTACTCTCTCTGCAGAGGAGCTGGGGTGGCAGGCATCACAGAGCACTGGCATTCCTCTGCAGCCAGTGGGGCAAAGCTGGTGGTGGGGCGGGGCTGGCAAGTGGGGGTTCTGGGCACCCAAGAGGCCCCTCGACCCATGTATCTTCCTCCCCTGGGCACTCCTGTAGAGGACTCCTGGTCATGCAAGTTTCCATGGATCCAGAGGGTCCTGCTGCTGCGGCGATTCGGGGAGGCTCCTGCCTCTGCCCAGAATGGGTGAGCCGGCACTACGCAGTGTCTTCCGAGGGCAAGGCCGTGCGCTCCCAGGCCCCGCCCTGTGCCAAGTCACTGAGAGTGGAGGCCCCGTGATCTCTTCACCTTTCTTGGGAACAAAACCCACCTCCCAAGGTTGTTGACTGGAGAGGTTCCCAATCAGAGGAGTGACTGGGAGAGAGTTCATTGATAAGTGAAGCATCGTATTAGCAGTACAGTGCAGGAGGCACGTCAGTATTCCCATTGCCATCTTCATTCCAAGACCACAACCAGGACAGGAGCCCCTCCATGGATGGACCTTCAGGTGATGATGCAAAGGAGAAAGGAGGGTGTTTAAGGGGGTGTGTTCTGTTGTCTGCCCTCTCTAGAGGGACCTGCATTGTACCCATTCCCAGAAAGGACACGGCATGGCATGATGGGCTGACACAGGGGACCGGAAGGGCCCAGGGCATTGCCCACTTAGCACTCCAGCTGCAAAAGCAGCTGTATGTGTCCTGAGGCCCATGCCTCCTGGTCATAGCCGATTGGATCAAGAGAAGGCGCCTATCCAGGGAAAATCAGTCTACGGGCTGCCTACTGACCCATGGAAAAATGAGTGGGACTAATTAGATCCTCTTGTTCGATTCAGCCATTAGGAGGGGAGTGGTCACAGTGCTGCAGGTGGTCAGTCAGGGGTGGGGCTGGAGGGCCAGGGCAGTGCTGAATATAGTTCTAGGGGAGCAGCACCTCTCCGTGAACTGTCAGTAGCGGGGAGAGGAGGGCGGAGTAGGCAAAGGCAGAGATGATGATAATTGCTCACGTGTATTGATTACTATGGGCCAGGCACTATTCTAGGATCACTTCATCATAATCCACAGAGCAGGCACTATTCCACCATTCTTATTGTACAGATGAAGGAACAGCTATAGAGAGATTAAGAAACTTGCTGAAGGCCACACAGCTTGTAGTGGTAGGGCTGCCCCTTCAAGCTCAGACTGGTGACTGCAGTGTCACCCTGCTGCCTCCTTCATGGTGTGTGGCTGCTTTGGCCCCAGGCCTGGGCACTGCAGTTCCTGCCCTAGGGTTCCAGCGAGCTCCCTTTTGTCTCTTGAGTTACCTTCAGGGTGTCTCTGTTCTTTGCAACTGAAAGAGCTTGATGAAAATTCAGTTTCTGGCAGGGGATGGTGAGATCTTTTCAAATCAGGACCTCCCTGACCTCTCAGGACCCTTTGGATCAGTACCTCATGGGTCGGTTTCACAGGTCACTTAGGCATGAGGTTCCCTGCCCGTGGGTCATCATCAAAGTCTAGGCGGATGGGGAGGTTTGCTTAGTCAGAGGCTTCCCAAGCCCAAGAAATATTTGCACAGTGACGACATCTGAGTGCTGGGTGGGGGATAGGATGCAACAATGAGCACTTTGGTACCAGAAAGGAGTCTGGGTGGTGGCGGCTGAAATGCCATTCATATTTGTGCCTGCAGGAAGCACTATTAATATGAAAGTGCACAAGTGGGAGCTGTGTCCCGGAAAGTGGCACGTGGGTGGAAGTCCGAGGGGGTGACAGGCAGTCTGAGGTCTGTCCCCAGACTCTAACCCTGGTCCCAGCATGATGGGTTTAGACACAGGAGCCAGGTGCCTCTCTCTCCAGTGAGGGTTCCTGTGCAAGCACAGGGCCTGCAGATGGGCAACTGGGGTAAGGCAGTGCCTGCGGCCCTCAGCAGGTCTCCACCGCTGCGTGACTCTCCAACATTCGACCAATTTAAGGTCAGCTTGGGAAACCCTGTTCCCATCAGAAGAGGAAGGCAGAGCCTTCCCTCCTTCCACATTCCCTCTATTCCCCTCCCTGCAGGATGAGTTTCTAAGCCTCTTCCCCCAGGCTGGCAGACACTCCCTGCCACCTAAGGTGGCCTGTACTTCTCGCCCAAGGAGGCCATGAGCTGGGGGTTAGGGTACATGACAAGTAATTTGATACCAAGTGTTCAATCACTCAAGTCTGTAAATGTGTTACCTTAAAATAAGGCCACAGCAAGAGAAGCTGGGCACCCAAAGGCTGCAAGCAAAGCCCTTCCTTACGGGGACAGCAATGTCTGGCTGAGCGTGGCGTGGAGGGTGGGCATTGGGGGAAGCCAGGCCACAGGGAGGAGTGGCAAGAGAGGAGTCCAGATGGCCGAGAACAGCCCTGGGTTTAAGGGGAAGCTTCAGGACAGCTGTCTTCAAAAGGAGGTGGCTGCAGCTTTGGGGTGCCATGGTGGTCCCCTGGAGTACATGAAGAAACAGAGCTTCTGTGTAAATGAGCAGCATTGTGTAGAATTATGTTGATGCAGATTATAATATCCACAGTATGTTGGTATGTGGCATAACTTATTAGGGGTGTACTGGAATGGACTTCTCAGCAGAGGTGGCCAATCTGAACAAGGCCCAGGTCTCTCCCATGCCTCCTCTCGTAGTCTTCTTCCCGGCAGCTGAAGGTGGCCCATCAGCAATGCCCGAGGGGCTCTCTGTTCAGATATGAGTACTGCCTTGGCCTCTCCCAGCAATGCCCAGAGGCAGCAGGGGCTTCCGGGGTGGCCCCCTGGACAAGTCAAAGGCCAGGATCAACCCTGCCTGGACCCCTCTTGCTTCTTCCTACCCCCTCCAGGCTTTAGTCCAGCCTCAACTGGCAACACTCTCACCAGCTCAAACCCACATTTTCCCAGAGGGTCCTCCCTCCCATCCTTCCTTCCCCACATCCCTCCTCAGCTGGGCCCAGGTCTTGGCTTCAATGACTTCTCTGGCCTCCCTCCTCCTGCAACAGCCCCTCCTCTCCAGGGCCTGGCTCAAGGCTGGTGCGGGAGCTACATGCCCAGTGAATAAACATGCTGCTTCAGACAAGCCTGCTTCCCCTCCGAGGGTCTCTTTATTTAACCTGTAAAGTCACTGTCAGCAACTTGGCTTGGCCCTCTGCTGCTTCCAACAAGGAACTGCTTAAAAGTCAGGAAATGCATTGGGTGCCTTTCCTAGTACCAAAAATTGACTATAACTCTTTGGGCACCCTGAGATAAATCAACAGCATTTGCTTTTTCTTTACTTTTCTAACATAATTCCAGAAAAAAATAGATCTCTATTTTTTTTTTATATATATATATATAAAAACTATATTTATATACACACATACATAGAGATCCTTCAACCATGAAGAGGCAAAGGATCCAGCGTCCTCTGGGGTGCCCCTTGGCCTGCCGCAGGAAAGCCAGGAGGCACCAGCTGTCTTGGGAATCATCTCGGGACATGCAGTGCTGAGCTAGTGTGCCATGGATGGGGGGTCTCCAACAGCCCTCTCCCTCCGAGGAAGGTGGAGCTATGACAAACCAGGGCAGCCCTCACCTGAGCTTTCTACACATCCTGAAATGTAAGCTGTACCTGATGGAGCTTTGAAACTAAAACCCAAAGTGCAGATACAAAAGGATTCCCTGATAAGCCTGGGGGACTGACTCCTTGGGGAAGAGTTCCAAGAGCGTCATGCAGCAGGGGCCGGGGGAGCCAGCAGGGAGGACATACACCCACAGCCCCCAGGCCCGGAAAAAGGTGTCATGGACACAGAGGCCTGCTCAGTCACAGGAGAAAGGCTGGGCTCTGTCCCCTCCTCAGGTCTCCCTCAGGCAGGGCAACCCAAAAGGCTAGGGTGAGGCTCAAATCAAGGCAAAAAAGGGCTGTGGGTGGTGAGAGGTACTGGGGACAGTCCTAGAAATTGCCCGCCTCCATGTTATTGGCCCTGGAGGGACCTGCATGGTAGCGTAAGACCTGCAGGAGTAATGTGTTGACTCAGGGTATTAGAAAGGACTGGATCTAGCAACCACAGGATCTAAAGCCGACGGAGGCTGCTTGGGCTGGAACACATTTCCAGGGAGATGGGGTGGGTGGAAATGGAAGCGTAAGGGCCAGTGCTCAGTACCCCCTGGCTAGACCCCAGAGGCCCCAAAGGCACTTGGTAGCAGAGGGAAAGAGCACAGTGGGGCCCAGCTGGTCTCAGGGGGCAAAGAGGGGCAACGTGGGCATCATCTGCTAACTCCAAGTCTGGGAAGGGAACCCAGAAATCCCATCGTCTTCCCACTTGCCCAGTTTCTTCACGTCGTGACTGCCCTGGGCAAGACCTGAGAGGGATCCAGAAGTCTGTGCTGTGCTGAGAGTGGGGAGTGAGATCCCCAGACCCCCAACCAGAGGCATGGGTGAGGGTGAAGGACAATTGTGAGGCTCCCCCCTGCCCAGCTCTTGGGGTGCAAGTCTGGTCACCACAAAACTCTGCAAAAAGGCACTTAGGGTTCAAGTCAGACTGTTTCCCAAGGCACCAACAAAGAAATCCAGGAAGACCCTCTTGGCCGAGCCAGGAGTTCACTAAAGATGGATTTCCCTGAGGCCCCGCACCTGATGCCACTGTCGCCCCACACTGACTGCTGCCTCTCCCTCTGGCCGGCCCTCCCTCCCTGTGGCTGCAGTGTCATCACAGCTCTCTGGGGATGATGGAGAAGGGGAGCACAGGGCTGCTGGCCTCCAGCTCCAGGGCAGTGAGGAAGCAGTCGACGGCGGCCTCGTTCTGGCCCTGGGCCTGCAGCACCTCACCCAGGCCCTGCCACGCCTCGTGGCACGTGCTCTGCCTCTCCACGGCATCTCGAAGCACCTTCTGGGCCAGGCTCTTGTGGCCAAGCCGACTCAGCATCAGACCCTGTGGACCAAGTACAGGGCAGGGTGAGTAGGGGTGTCCCATGGCACAGGCATCTTGGCAACTGGGCCAAGCACAGGTGCACAGGTGGCAGCAGCCATCAGTTCGAGAGGCTCCCTGCGTCTCTGGCTTCGGCAGTCAAGTGACTGTGCCTTTCCCCATGTAAATCCTACCTGCCCCTGCCCAACCCCTGCTTTAACCCCAGCCTCCTGGGAAACCCACTGCAGGAGCTCTGTTCCTGCCGGTCCCGAGGAATTGGCTTTCAAGTCACCAGACCTGGCTGTGTCACCTCGTTTGGGGGATCCTGGGCAAATCCCAGCTCTCTGGCCCTCAGTTTCCTCATCTGTAAATGGGAAAATCACAGCATCTCTCTCGAGGGCGGGGTGAGGCTGAAAGGAGTCAGGAGGTGTAAAGCTCTGAGAAGTGTCTGGCAGGAGTGTGTTCTACTCAGTGGGACTATGCCTCTCAGTCCTTCCTGCGGCCCGGAGCTGCCCTTCACCCCAGGGATGCACAGAGACTGAGGAGGACGCATTACGGGGCTTCATCACTGTCACCGGGGAGGAAAAGCTCAAGCATGTGTGCGTGTGTGGTGGCTCCTCAGGAGAGGGTCACAGGAGGAGAGTCAGATGGCAGGGGACAGGGTGCTGGGTGAATGGGGCACTGGGTGAACAGGCTGGATTGGCTGAAAGATGAAAGGCCCTGGGGGGTCTGGGTCAGGCGCAGGGAAGCCTGGCCCTGCTGTTTGGCTCAAACAACCCTGTTACCAAAGAGATAGAGGAACTAACAGGAATCGTCATAAGAGGCTGGGAAGTGAAACTGGCACCCTGTCCCCTCTACATCCTCTTTTACCCACGCTGGGAAGTGGGTAGCGAGGACAGGGTAGTGAGCGGAGGCAGAGGGGCAGGGCCCCCTTTCAGCAGAAAGGCTGCTTCGCGCCGTCCCACTGATCCCTGTTTCAGCCCTGAGGGTGGCATGAGATGGTCCCTCGGGGGGACCGTTCTCTTGTTAAAAGACTGGAGGTAAAACCCACCACCGACTTCCTGGACAGGTGGGGGCCGCAGTGGGGGTGGGGAGCTGCCTTCTATGTGCCTGGAGCCCCCTCTCCAGTGCCCGCCCACTGATGGCCATGTACATTTTTAGCTGGAACATTTTCCTCCTCAGCGAGCTCCCCAGAGTAGGCCCTCTGTTGCTATGGAGACGCGCTGGGGAAGATGCGCATGCCTGGTTTCATCAAGTCCTCAGAGAGCTTGGAACACAACCAATTCGGCGGGAGTGAAAGATGGCGCTCAGGAAGCCCTAGGAAAAGCCTCTCCCTCTCCATAGGTGCTGGCTGGAGATCTTGTGGCCAGGGGGCGGGGGAGGAAGAGGCTGTCCTCACAGAGCCTCTGTTAGCCCTGGGCAACGCCGTACCAAGGAACCACACACATGGATGAGGCGTGCAGAGGCCAGGGGAGGACAGGGTGGCTGCGGGCGGGGTGGAGCCTCAGGCAGGGTCTTCCGCTCTCGCCAGATGGGAGTGGTGCTGACTCAGGGCTGCCTGGGACCAAGGGTAGTGGCCAGGCTGGCCAGCAGGGCACCGGGCCTAGCTGTTCTGCCCACACGGCCCAAGGGCCAGACCCCAGCAGCTCACAATGGAACAGGGCCCACAGGGAGGAGGGAAGGAAGGCCAGCCGACGGCTGCCAGACACAAAATTGAGCACCAAAAATGAAGGGTTTGAGCCCTGTGAGTTCTGCCCAGGAGGGAGCAACACAGGACAGAAGGGAAAGGCCAGCAGGCCTCTCAGGGAGGGGCAGGCCCGGAGCGGCTTCCACACGTTAAGTTTTCTGTATTAAGCTTCCACATGGGATTTTGTTTGAAAAAAGGGCTCAACTGCTAAAAACAGGTTTGAAAACCCCTGATATCAAGAAGTATGTGGGTGTCTGGGAAGGGGCCAGATGTGTCTGCAGGCTGGTGTGTGTGTGTATGTGTATTTTATTCTCAGTTTGGGAGGTTTGCAGTAACTTCCTCTGTGTGTCTGTAGAGAGGAAAAAGCTCAGGGCTTGGTGGCCGGAAGCCCTGGCCAGGTTGGAATCCCGGCTCTGCCACTGACAAGCGCTGTGACCGTGGACAAATGGCCAGCTTTCTCTGAGTTGTGGTTTCCTCATCTGTAAAACAAGCAATGAACAGTCCCTCCTCGTGGGGCTCTTGTGAGGAGTCTGCAATGATGAGTTGGAAAAATCACCGCAGGGGCAGACAGCAAACAGCAGCACCTCCAAGATGAGCAGAGGGTCCTTCTGGGCGGGGAGCAGGTGGATGGCTGATCTCTTTAGAAGCTGGGAGAGGGCATGGCTCTCTGTGGGGGAGGACTGTAGGCTAGGGTGGGTTGGCTCATGTCCCCCCACCCTGGGGTGTTGACTTTAGAGCCTGAAAGGAGACACCGGGCTGGGGTCAGGCTGGGGCCCAGAGGCCCAGGGCCTGTAACAGGATCTTCTGCCACCTGCCCCTGACACCAGCCGAGTTCATGTTTGGTAGCAACTCAGCGCTGTTTGCTGCCTGACAACTGGGCAAGACAGCCCCAGGATGATGCGAGGTCTCACCGACTCTGCCCTGAGCCCAGCGCTGCATCTAGGGCCTGCAGACAATCCTCTTGGCACCTCGACCCTCCCAGAGAACAGGCCTCCAGAGAGATGGTAGGAACAAGAACTGGCATCTCAATTGCATGCAAATGTCCCAAGTGAATCCCCCATCCCCCATCCCCCATCCTGGTGAGGGGGTGCCCCATGCTGAGAGAGGAGACCAGATCTGCTGAGAGGCTCCCAGTTTTGACCTTCCCTTGGGAGATGCCATAGCTGTGCTGGCAGCCCACAGGGATTTGAAAGTTGTTTATGGTGATCAGACACCATAACTCCAAGGGGGCGCTTTGGGCTGGTTATAGCCACAAACATGGTTCCAGGGAGGTGCAGGGCTCTGGGGGAAGTCCCCAGAAATTCCCACCTCAGGACCCTCCTTCTTCTCTCCCTTCCTGATCTCAGGGAGTGGGGATGTGTGGCCACATCTCAAGTGCTCGAGACCCTGCTCTCCCAGGAAGCCTTCCCTGAGGACGGAGTTCCTCCTGACCACACAACCGCCTCAACGTCATGCTTAGTTACTGTGGAGCTCATGGATGCGATCCCTGTCCTGCCCCTCCCGAGGCTGAGAGGGATAGAGCCCCTGCCTCCTGCCTGCTTTGTTATTCCCCAAAGGACAGCAGCTCAACAGGGCTCAGAGCTCAGGATGTAGCCCAAACACAGAGCCAGGGAACCCAGAGGCACCCCACACTTACAGATGTGGGCCTCCGACCAGGGATGCTGCCCACATGGAGCTTGGCAAGCCTTACCTCTTACGGCCACGAAGGTGCAGAACCTAAGGGGCCCAGGGTCTTGCTGGTCTGGGCTCACACTCAGTGAGGAGCCTCCCTGTGGGACCCAGGTCCTTTGCAGAGGCAGTGTGTGGCCAGGGGCTGTGGCCTGGGAGTGGACGAGGGAAAGGGCCTTGCCTTTTCAGAATCCACTGCACACCATCCCACCCCGTAAGTTCAGTGCCTGATGATGCCCACCAAGGGCGGAGCAGTACAGAGGTCTAGGGGTGCGCATGCCTCTTCTTCTTTTGAGGGGGGCCTGCCCTGGGAAGCAGCCTTGGCGCTAGGCCAGCTGTGGGCCAGGCTGAGCCCTCCTTCCCCACCCCTGCCCTCAAGTATTTATAGAAGTTATTTTGGGAATTTTCTCTCTGAGCTCAAAGCACATTCCTGGGATTCTGTAACAGCCTTTCCAGCTGGGAAGCCAGGAATCAGCTGGAAGCTGCAGGAGCCTTCTGGTCCCTGGAGCCTGCCTTTGGGGACACCAGGGCTGCTGGGAGGAGCCTGCTCTACAGGAAGGGCCCTCCCTCTCGCCACCCTGGAACATGGACACACCCTTCCAGGGAGGCCCGCATTCCAGCCCAGCTCCGGGCTCTCTGGCATTCTGGGTTCTCTCAGGTGTGTCAGCCTCAACCTGTCCAACCAGACCTGGAACGGGAAGGAGGGAGGCACCTCTCCAGGCTGAGAACCTCCCACTCCCATCACCACCGCCTTCCTGGAGCCAGGGCAGCTCCAAAGCCACAGGGTCCCACTTCCCTGATGTGGGAAGGGGAGCAAACCCTTCCAGCTCCACCCAGTGCTGGGGTGGGATGTGTTCACCCCAGAGCCCCCTGGGCCTCAAAGGAAGAGGCTCCTGCTGAGAAGAGCCCAGACTCACATGGAGCCCAACCTAGGTGGGGGTCTCCTGGGGTAGTGGGTGCCTGTCCCTTTCTCTTTTGGGGTCCTTTACAAGTGAGATGTTGAAGAACACCAGCAGGCCTCTTCAGCTGGGGCTAAGGGTTGTCTGTTTTCAGAGGGGCAGGGGCCAGCGGCCAGGGGCCAGATGGGTCACACCCTGGGGCACTCTAGAGCCTGACAAGCCACCAGGAAATGGACTTCCTTGTCAGCCATCTCCTCTGGGCAGGGGCTGGGCCTTTTCTCCTCCCCTTCCTGGGCTGGTATCAGGTTCTAGGTCTATAAGGGCCTTTGCCTATCCTGGAGCACTGCCTGGCCCAGCCCTCCAGGTCAGTCAAGAGGCTGTGGCTAGGCCTCTGGATCCCTGGTTCTAGAAGTGAGTCCCCGTGATGGGGAGTGAGAAGGGGCCCAGTCACAGAAGCTCCCCTCTCTGGGCAGGAGGTACAGCCTAAGGCACAGTGAAGGTCAGTTTGGGGAAGGGGCTGCTGGACAGGGAAAAAGGACCATGTCACCTTCTCTTTCCATGTAGGGTGAGTCTTTCTAACGCTTTCTGAAAAAATGGATTCTGGAGCTTAATGAAGCCAGCAGTGCTCAAGTATCATTCAGATCTGAATCTATGACAGGCTTCCTCATCAGAGTTGGTGATGGACTTCAGGAGCCTACATCAGCTTAAGGTTTTCCCAAAGTCCTGATCCAGGGCTCAGGGTGTGTGTATGGGGTTGTGCCAGCCCAGGG